TGCTTTTTCGCAGGAAGAGGTACGAAGATATATATAAAAGGCACGTGGTTCGGAGGTTGAACCATTGCAAAAGATCTGCCCTGCTTACTGAAGTGAAGCGTGAACGCACTTGATATTTTCGACATGTCTTGGTTGAAGTTCACAATCGGAGTTTTTCTTGTTGGAGTAGCAACAGTCACTGGTACACAGAACCAGCTCCCGGACGGGGTCGATAGCTTCAGGGTAAGCCTTTTTTAACCTGCATGCTTCCACTGCTCTCTACGGTGCTTCCTAAGTATTAAGTAAAACCAATTCATTGCCTTCGGTGCAATACGTAAGTACGACTCTTAGCGTTCACAGCATCTGTATGCTTTGTTGGTTTGAGTCCAGCCAGGTGGTCGCATTTTGATGGAGGTGAAATGGTCGAGGTCCGTGTACTGTGCGACGTGAGTGCACGGCAAAGAACACCAGACGGCCTCCTTTCCAGAGCCTTCTATGACGGCGTTTCTCGTAATCATGTTGAAGTTTTGGGGCATGAATTCAAAATAAATTTATAATAATAATAATAATAATAATAATAATAATAATAATAATAATAATAATAATAATAATAATAATAATAATAATAATAATAATAATAATAATAATAATAATAATAATAATAATAATAATAATAATAATAATAATAATAATAATAATAATATAATAATAATAATAATAACATTTTATTATTATTATTATTATTATTATTATTATTCGGTACTCTTTATTTTTCGCATTATACAACACTATGAATAAAATTATATAGCTCTAGAAGTGAATGACCTTCAACTGCTAATATCTCGGATATACCATTTCAAGCTCAATACAACTCAAATGTTCTTATATGATACCTACGCCCCGCCGCGGTGGTCTAGTGGCTAAGGTACTCGGCTGCTGACTTGCAGGTCGCGGGTTCAAATCCCGGCTGCGGCGGCTGCATTTCCAATGGAGGCGGAAATGTCGTAGGCCCGTGTGCTCAGATTTGGGTGCACGTTAAAGAACCCCAGGTGGTCAAAATTTCCGGAGCCCTCCACTACGGCGTCTCTCATAATCATACGGTGGTTTTAGGACGTTAAACCCCACAAATCAATCAATCATATGATACCAACTGATTTTTCTCTCTAATGGAGATACTGCATGCTAAAAAATCCACGCACGAACTACGAAATTGTCTACACTTACGAAAATTTTCTTGTGCTGCCCAATTATATTCGGTATATGTAAAACGTACATCAACACGGCCTTCTGTGCTGCAAGAGATAATGTACTCATAAAACACTGCTATTCCACAGCATATTATTTTTTTTCCATTATGCTAGTGTCTCCATAGGCATTTAACTGTATCGTAGCATACAGGAGAAAGCGCACCCTCACCTAAATTATCAAAATGCCTTTGGGTGGAGTAAAATAACGAAATATGAAATTTTCATAGAATACTTTGATGACGCCTTGAAATGAATTAATGAATAAACTTTAAAGATATTCCGGTAGTTCTTACAGAGCGGGGGGGGAGAAGAGGAAATTAACCCCTGTCCCTTCAACGGGATCTGGCGATGTCAATCTAGCAAGCGTCTTGTATAATGTTCTACGTTATGGTTAAAAAACGGCCTTAGGAACTAGCCCACACAGAGAGTAAGTTTGCTAGTGTAAGTAACATCTTCAGAGCTTTATTGCAGATTTGAGATAAAACCAAAGCGGCTAACGATCATTTTTTTAACGTAACTCTGCCGAATATTTTTGCAAATGACCCTCGCAGCTTCTGTAAATACTTCGGTATAATGGAGACAGTGACACAACTATCTGCAGAAGAAAAACAAGAAAAAGCTGAGTCATTTAACAACTTTTTTCAGTCAAAATTCAATGCTGGAAACAAGTATATACTCTCGATCAGTTCGCGTAGTACTACGACCATCGATGACCTAACTATTACAGATGCCGGTATCAATATTCTTCTACTGAAAATTGATCCCAAGAAATCATTGATTGATATGTGGGGTTTTAACGTCCCAAAACCACTATATGATTATGAGAGACGCCGTAGTGGAGGGCTCCGGAAATTAAGACCACCTGGGGTTCTTTAACGTGCACCCAAATCCCCAAGAAATCATGCGGCCCGATAATATTCCAAACAAATTTCTTAGGAGGTACGCGGAATCGAGTAGTAAATATCTCGAAATAATTTTTAGGAAGTCCTTGCAGGTCGCCGAATTACCGTCAGACTGAAAATGAGCCAAAGGTATACGAATGCATAAATGTGGATATAAAGTTGTGGTATCAAATTATAGGCCTATTTCTCTTACAAGTACAACGTGTAAATTACCAGAACATGTTATTTCTAAACACACCACTTCTTTCCTTGAACAAATTCACTTTTTATCTCCCAACCAGCACAGATTTTGAAACGGCTTATCTACTATTACACTATTGACTGAAGTTGCCCCGCCGCGTTGGTCTAGTGGCTAAGGTACTCGGCTGCTGACCCGCAGGGCGTGCGTTCGTATCCCGGCTGCGGCGGCTGCATTTCCGATGGAGGCGGAAATGTTGTAGGCCCGTGTGCTCAGATTTGGGTGCACGGTAAAGAACCCCAGGTGGTCTAAATTTCCGGAGCCCTCCACTACGGCGTCTCTCATAATCATATAGTGGTTTTGGGACGTTAAACCCCTACATATCAATCAATCAATTGACTGAAGTTGTACATTACCTTGCACATAGCCTCAATCGCAGCAAACAGATATGGTCGTATTAGGTTTTTTGAAAGCATTTGACAGCGTCTGCCATAATCAATTAAGTGCGAAACTAGCAGCCATCTTATGTAACACTCCATTGACCTGCTGGATTAAGGATATTTTGCTCAATACAAAGCAATTCGTATTTTTTCAACAAGCTTCATTAAAAACCGTTTCTGTATCATCAGGCGTGCCACGAAGATCAGTACTTAGACCGTTGTTATTTTTAATTTATAATAATGACATTGCAACGAACACAGACTCCAAGATAAATCTTTTTGCTGACGATTGTGTTATATATCAGGAAATCAGTAGCTATACAGACCACCTTGTGCTAATTGCCTCTCTAAACACTATATTAAAGTGGTGCAAACAATGCCAGATGTCAATAAACGTAAGAAAATTTGATGTGACCACAATAACGAAATGAAAACAACCATCACTATTTTTATGAAGTCGATCGTACCATGTTACCTAAGGTAAACGATTATAAATATTTAGATGGGACGCTTACTTCGGACCTTTACTGGACCCATCACTTAGATAATATTACCGCAGCAGCAATACGCAAGTTATTTTTTCTTAAAAGAAGCCTTAAACTAGCTCCCACCCCAATAAAGCTGCTTGCCTATAAGGCATTCATAAGACATGTTATAGAGTACGCCAATGTGGTCTGGTTCCCGCATACACAGACTAATATAAGGAAACTGGAAACAGTGCAAAGAAAACAATAAGATTTTTTCATAACAGGCACACGCGCACAGACTTGTCAACTAACCTTTTAAACACATCCAATCCAAAAACGCTGCCAGAAAAAGCGAACGAAGCCCACTTAAAATTGATGTTTCAGATTATTAACAACAGTTTAAGATAAACGTATCGAAGTACGATTCGTTTTCTGAATCTCGACCTACACGCCAAAAGCGTGCTAATACACTAACAGAATATTCATATAGTAATAAAACTTTCAAACATTCGATTTTTTTTTCACTTACCATTAGGGAATGGAATCAACTACACTCTCCTATCACAAACACCAAATCGTTCTAAGAATTTGCCGATAGAATAGAAGGTACAAACAACTTATCCCAGATACGGGAAGTACATAAGTACTGGCCGATCCCCTGTTTTTCTATATATTTTTTTATTTTTACTTGAATATTTTTCGTGGAGTATGACATTGCTGTTGTACATTACCAAGTCCTGCCCGAATAGTGTGTAAATGTATTCTTTGCACATATTTCAGTAAAAGCTGTTTGTTCTTGCTTGATAAATATTGTAACCCTGTTCTAGATTTGTTAAGTATTTGATTGTTCCTGAAATGCCTTATTTATTGCACTTACTTTCTGTATTGCCCTCCTGCTACGCTCTCAGATGAGAGCAGCAGTATCGAAAATAAACAAATAAATAAATGAAAATAAATAAATAAATAATTACATGTTGATTTCATGTTGAAAGCTTTTATGAAAATGATTTATGTGGTTTCCGTTCGCTTAAAAATAAAGTCAGTTTGTGATCTCGGAAGCAGCACAATATAAAAATATTGCGGAAAAAAATACCATAAAGCCCGACAAAGAAAGTGATAAACTCGTTTAACAAGTCGCGATGTTTTGATGCGTACCTATGCGACATACCAATAAAATTCGAGTAATACAACCAATTAATGACAAGCTGTTTTATGCTCTAATTCAAAGAATAAGTGATAGTTTGGGATGGCAAGTGCTCACAATATTATGTAAGAACTATACGGAGGCTGAAACACATCTTCAGGTGTTCTATATCAGAATCTTCATGCTTCGCATTCAAATGCGTGAACACATGTTCTAGGCTATATCATGTACCGCCAATATTTTTGTTCTTTCACCCATATTGAGAATGCTCGACAAAGCAGCTATTTGTAGGTGCCCACGTGACCTGACAAGGTGAAGAAAGTTATTTGCATGCAAAAATTTCAATAAGCAGAAAGAATAACAGTTAAGAACGTGTTGGCCTGCGCCGGGAAAACCACTGCATTTCGTGAGTGTAGAGACCACCTTGTAATTTAGAATGTTTTTTTTTTTTATTTCGCTGCATTTTCAGTTGCGCAACATCATAACGTCTTCAAATAGTTTGCGTATGTTTTAGGCGGTTTCATTATCCTCGAGACCGATTCTCCTTTTCTGTGCTATTTGAGCAAATTGGCTATTTTGAATTATTTTTTTTATTCAGATGATAGGCGCCTTTCCTAATGTTGTCGCCGTATACACTTCGACAAATGATTCTTCCTTCAAATGTCTGAGTGCCACACGTACAAACTATGACTCTGAAGCCAAGACGGCTAGCTATGTGTGGCCACTCAGAGGTCATGGAGGTACCGAAAGGTAAGCCACATTGTTTACATTTGACAACTTCGAGCGCATCTTTCTTCTGCCACGATCACGAGCTTCTCTCTACAGAACGTAGTGCTTCGTATCTTAATGTACCACTCAACTATCGTTAAACTTTACGTTTATGTCACTATTGTTAATAGCAAAGGATGCGGGTAATACTTGGAAGTCAATTGCTTTGAAAGTGTTTGGCACTACATAATGACACATGGTTGGTTACGATTACGAGTATGGCACACTTTGCTTGGAGAGAGGAGAAATTGTTGAACTTGCATCGCTCGTGCTTTAAACAAAGTATTTTTAGCTCGAAGACTTCTTACCTCCAATATCATCCGTCGAATCTTGGATCTTTGCGTTCTTCGAACGGCCATTATATAGCATTTCGAGCAGTGTTTCTTCAAACTAGCATGTATATGGTGTGCGTTGTCAGCAGCGTTTGCGTAATGCGGAGAGAAGTTTCTCCAAAAGTTTCAGGTCTTTTGCATTCCATACCTCAAGAAGTGCTCTAAATAGTACGTGCTATCTATAAACGCGTGAATTACTTTCATTCCATATGACTGAAAGTAGATGGCACGGGAAATATGCTTTGAGTGTTTTGGGTGATTCTAAAAAACTAGAAATGGCACTGTCATATCCACGTGAAAAATAATTTCTCGTATTTTTTTTCAGATACCGCTATTACACTGTAAGCAAAAACTATCCGAGTTTGGGGTTTTTGCGGCTCATGACCTCTGAAAACTCCCTTTCGTTTAAAATTACTACCTCGTGTAGGAGTAAAAGATGGTACATGACATAGTTTTACCACCACCTCTCAGGCAAGTAGTAAAAGGATGTCAAAATCTAGTTTTACCACTTAGGGAGTTTTCAGACACGTGATTTTTAACCTGCGTTTCAGAGTTTATTACCACGTGACTGCAAGGTGCAGCTGCTTCGGTGGCTTTTGCCCCATTGTGACGCTCTCCTGAAGGTACGCGAGGACCACAGTTTTTTTTTTTTTTGGCATCGCCGTGCCTCGGGATTGACATCGAGTCAACGCACTTTCACTGGAACTGGGGGCAGCATAAGCACAACAAGCGTGAACAGCATTCTGTGAACGAAAAAGAAAAAAAAGACGGGGGGGGGGGGTCTCAAACGAAGAAAAAAAGAAGAAAGAAAACCTGCTCAGGAAACTTGACCTGCATATTTTCGCAAATTGTTGGCTTTTGCTCGGCGTTGGCCTTGGAGACAGACGGTGCAAGAAGCTGGGTATCTGTGTGTCTGGTTGGGCTGATGGATCTCACGTGTTTCCTACATCGTCAAACGACCGTGCGCTTCCGAACGCCTCCGAACCTGCACGTCGCGGATATCTCGCTTCCGAGCCGAATCGCGAATATCTGCCAGTGGTAACAAAATCAATCTGGTGTCATCGTCCATGCTTGCCTACTGGAGAAGCAATAACCAAAATGCTTCACTCTGTCGTCGGCACCGAGCCGCGGCCGCCAGTGACCAGTGGGAGTGTGTCGCCGGGGCAGGTGAAAGAAGCATCGCATATGTTTTGTTCCACAGTAGGCGATGTCTGCATGAGTAAAGTGCTGCCCGAATTGCCCACCTCATGCACCAACTGCTCTCAAACATGTCGCGCAAAGCCTATACGAGGCAGACGGGACCAACAAGCGGCTGCCGGTGAGCACGAAGAAAACCCGGACGGTGGTATTTACACCGCCCCGTCCCCGTAAGATAGTGGCCACGTGTTCATTTGTGTCTGAAACGACGACGAAATTCGCACAGGATATGTGTTCTGTGATCGCCAGCTGTGTTTCATCGGATAGCCGTGCTCCTCAAAAAGGCCTAGTGCGCCGTCGGTAAGAAGCTTGTGTGCAGGCGTGCACCGCTCCTCTACGCCCGTTGTGATGAATACGTGCTGCTACTGTGTTAGTGCACCGTCGCTCAATGAAAATCATTGAGCTACCATGGTTTGTGCGTACTTAGGTATATTTTATGGACTTGTGCATCAGCAGTGCTAACACGCGTGGGGCCATGAGCCCGGTGTGCCAAGTAATTATTGGATACTCAAAAAGGTGAGATTGGGTAGATTTACAATAAAAGGTCGGTGTGACATTTAGTGTCCTGCAGCCCACCTTAAGTTTACGCTTGCACCTTCAACTGTTCTTGTTTATCGATGCAAAAAAAGAGCTCTCCTACTGGTCCTACAGGGCCGGTCAAAAAGTCGTGCCTATATATATACCCGACTGTCAAAGTGTAGTTGAGCAACGCGTGCAGTCTGTTCTAGTGGTGTATTATTCTGCATTTGTTGTGTGTGCGTGTTTGTCTGTATGTGAATCTATGTGTCACCAATTCTGCCGTTCAATAAATTCAATCAGTTCTGCTATTCAATAAATTTGTCGTCTCTGGGCGAATGCACCCGTCAATTTTTATTTTTTTACCACCAGAAATAACTCCCAGTAATAACCTCAAAAACCTTGTGAAGGTAGTAAAAATTTACTGCCTCTATACTCGCTGAGAACCTCACTGGGGTAAATATTTACTACTCTCCCTACGTTCAAAAACTCAGTTAGCAAGAGAGTAAATTTTTACCTCGGTAGTAGGTGGTAAAAAAAACCCAGGAAAGGTAGTGCGCTAGAGGACAAATGGTTTACCCAGTTTTTGAGGTTATTTTAGGTCATTTTCGTTTAGTGTGTACTCTCTTCTAGTGACCTTTCGCTACTTCTGTCAAGCTAAAGATGATCGTTCAAGGAAATGATTATTAGGTGGGGTCTAACGTCCCAAAACCACCATATGCTTAGAGATGTCGTAGTGGAGGACTACGAAAATTTCGACTACCTGGGTTTTCTACCTTCCACCGAAATCTGAGCACACGAGTCAACAATAACTAAGCCTGCATCGAAAACGCAGGTTCTGCAGCCGGGATTCAATCCCGCCACCTGCGGGTCTGCAGCCGTGTACATTAACCCCTAGACTACCACGGTGGGGATATCATTGAAACAAAGAGGAAGCCAAAGGAGATGCGCCGACATTCAACTGAAAGTGTCTCACAGCTTCATATCTGCATGTGCAGAAAACAGAGGCATGGAAAAAGGGGGACTACGGAGTGCGAAAAAAAGACAAGAAATTCGAAGTAAAATGCTAGAATTGAAGTGGGGGAAATTTCCTTCGCTCAATTCTTCAGTACATCAACTTTCAGGACGCCCAGAAACAAACTTCCGCCGACAACAATGACAAAGTGTGAAGTCAGGTGGTCGTGACGTGAAGGCAGGCAGAAATCAGCGTGCCCAAGACGAAATTTTTATTCAGACGAGCTTGTGTCCAGGAAAGAGAAACTCAAACGACAGCCATAAACACTGTATACACCGGCACCGGTGAGCAGAGCATGGGCCGTCAGCAAACTGATCCGCGGCAAATTGCATTAATATTCATACATGAGGCAATAAACATTCAAAGTTATCTCTGGTGGCCTTATTTGGTCGAATTCAAATTGACCTTTTTCGTGTTTGCAAGCTCAAGCCTAACAGATCATCCTAAGTAACCTAGAATGCTCTCACACAATCTGGCGTGGTTTGCGCAAGGCCGCTTGTACACGCCAAATGGGCTGGTGACATAACACAATAAAAGCAGTGTATGATAATATAAAGACTCATATAAAGTGTTTTTTTAAATTTTGTGCTTCTTTATTAATACTGAACCTTTCCTCGGTGCAAGGTAGAAAACCGTATATACATCTGGTGGACGTCCATTTCGGTCCTTTCTCTCTAATCTCTCTCCTCTCTCTTCGCAAGTGATGTATCCTTGCTATTTTTTTGGTCATACAAGTCCCTTCTACGCTTGTGTTGACACAGATGTTCAGGTTAACCATGTGTTTTTTCCTCATTATTTCACTTCTTCACTATCACTGCGCGTACCTTGCTTTGTGCGCCTTTTCACCATGCTACCTAAGACAGCTTCTTATATCTTTGCTTCAAATCGGGCCCTCGAAGTAAACGCACATTAATAGAGCAGTCCCCTTTCTTCGTTAGCCATTAAACTGAAATAGGCTCTATGCGAAGCAAAGCTTTAACTATAGGTACTGAAGCACCTATTTCTTTATTTATTGAATGGTGAACTAAAATGTGGGCTACTGCAACCAAAAAATAATACCTGGCTTGAGTTCCTGTTACTCTATCATAAAATCTATACTCACCTCTCTATCTCACTATCGCCATCCATAAGTCTTTCTTCTCCACTTTCCCCTCCCCCAGTGTAGAGTAGCAGGCTAGAGCAAGCTATCGCTCAGGCCGCCTTCTCTGTATTTCTGTAAATAAACATCTCTCTCTCTCTCTCTCTTGTTAGTATTCTATGATCTGCTGCTGAAGGTTCTGCTCTGCAAATGCATACCATTTCATCTCCTGATTGTCTAAAAGTACAGCATTTTCCTTTCATTTGTTTATTTAGGAGAAATGTCACATTCATCATAACGCCCGGAGAAGTTCGAAATCAGACAAAATATTTTGTTGACGACGGTAAGTACAGCATTCTTCATACATGATGGCTCTCTGCTTGGTAACAAGTGACAAGAAGCCAAGCTCACCTCTTGTGCACTAAATGTAGTCACTTTCGTTTGATGGGTGAAATAAAAAGGTTGCCATACTCTTCATTTGAATATGCAACACTTGAACCACAGGAAACCTACACATATCTCTATTTAACCGTCATTGCACAGTACTGTAATATTTGTATTGTTAGGAACACGGATTTATTTGTATATTGTGTTACACGTGGAAGCGGCCCGCTGCTCAACTTCTTGAGGTAGTGTTTCTCAGGACCTCAATAAGTTCTGTCTGTCTGTCTGTCTGTCTGTCTGTCTGTCTGTCTGTCTGTCTGTCTGTCTGTCTGTCTGTCTGTCTGTCTGCCTGTCTGTCTGTGTCCTAGCATAATGCCGTTTTTTATCCTGGTATTCCGTGGTCACTTCTTAATACTGCTGTGGTGAATGTGGGTGCTCCGTCGAGAAAAAGAAACCGAACTTCTTGCCACAAGAAGCAGGCGAAACTGAGCTGACACAAGGGCTTGACATGGCACTGAGAGCCTTGGCTTCATCGTGGTAAGACAGAAGCTACGAGCTGATGAATGAAACTCATCATAATAGGCGTGCGCAGGGTTTTCTTTCAGGGGGGAACGAAAGTATTCACAGGGCCTGCTACTATATTATATCTGTAATTACTGACTTTGCTCCACTCCTTGTAAGTGACAAGCGGAAGTCTATATACATCATTATACAAGCGGTGAAAGCAACCTCTCGTTCAGTACTTGATCGCAGTCGCGCATCACTCGAGTAGATACAGCGTACTTTGAGAAAGAAGGTTACATCTAAGCTTCGAGTGCAGACAAAAGGCAGGGGCCATTACAAACGAGGCGGGCGAGCTTCTTGCGCCCTAAAGCTGGCGTGGTGCTGAGTATGGTCAGCTTGAAGAAGATGCCGCCTCAAGTTTCGTTGCACACATAGTTGGGGTCTAAAAGGCATGCACCAGTATGCAGAACAAGACGAGACGTACAGCTGGTGAAATACAGAGCGAGCCCTCGCCACGCTGGTGGAAACATAAAGCAGTTTCTAGCGTAGTACACAATAACGCGTGCCGAAATGAAATGAATTCAATCAAACAAGCTGTGAGCTGATGAGGGCTAGAAATGTCACGCTCATACGCTTATGAACCGTGCAAAGCCACAGGAACTGGTGGCACCAGCATAACCCGGAGTATGGCTTGCAGTCTAAACAGCTCGATGCCTAAACATTCAAATACTAGGAGCATGAGAGGTGGACTATGAGAGAGGCCGTCAGTGGTCGGTACACGCGTAACCAGAAATAATCTAAAGAGCATAGTAGGCACTCCCCTGTGAGAGGCCGCAAATATAAAATTAAATTACGAGCAAGAACTGGTGTGGTGTGCTAAAAGCGATCACCCAGCAATGCATAGTGCGTGAAGAAAAAGGCCAACGACTGCAAGTAAAAAGGTCCAGCATATTCGCTGTTATGTTCTCAGTAGTCTTTACAGTCATAAATGTTTTAAAACAGTGACTGAACCTAAAAGGTGTAGCCATAACATAGAAGCAAGAGATCTACCATGGTCATGTACCTTGTACAGAAAGGTGTTCAGGGCAGTGTGAAATAACTAGTTTCAATCAGTTACCGCAGCTAAGCGTTTATGAGGATCGTACACCGACACACCAAATCAGAATGTCGGTACTTATTTTGGGCTGCACACACCCCTCTCCAACCAAGGCCAGGGTATAGTACACACACATTAGTGGAGCCATGCTCTCTGGCTGTGCGGCTTTGAAATATTGCGTGTTGCAAGAGGTGTAGCGATGCTATCAAGAGCAGCCCACGGTCACTATCTATTAAAGACGTGACATGTACCTGCGGGGTCCCAAGCGAACACAAGGCACCCGTTATACAGATGTAAGCTGTTAGGAGCTACCAACAGCCGACTGGTGCAAATATCCACCACCGCCACCACCGAAACAGTTACTCGTCGATGCTCTCCAACACAATTAAAAAAAGACTGGGTTTTAGACGCTACTGAGCCACTTGTTAATTTTGGTTATCAAATGTTCTATTGCACAGCCGAGCTAGTGCTTTAACCTTCGAAAAAAAGTACCTTATGCTGTCACCATGTAATGACAAGGTTCACTTTATTAGATGTGATGTTGCGCCTTTCGAGCGTAAAATTTCAGCTGACTTGGCGCCTTGTGAACGTTGAAACGAGTGGGTGCTTTGAAGCTACTCACTCAATATGACTGGTTCAAATGAAATTGATCGTCGTCATCAATAAACGCAGTATATCAACAGACTGTGAAGCTACGTAATGCACACATCCCCTTTCAGACAAGTAATGGGCAAGTTGGTACATAATGGAAGATGAAAACCAGCGAATAAACCAAGAATTGAAATTGACGCTTTAAAGTGAAAGCCTTGATCACCAAAAAGTGAGAAAAGAGCACGTCGCTTCACTTGTGCTTGCGCCTTTTAAGTATAAGCATTGATAAGCTTCAGATATGAGTCCGTGCGTGTATCTGATTTCTATGCATACATCACACGCTTCTCGTATACATCTGGGTACACTTTTCTGTGTAACAGACCGGCAGTGAATGATGCGCAAGTTGACTTTCGGAAGATAATGTTAGGAAAATATTGCAGAAAAAACGGCCAATTTTCTGTAGCTTTTCCTAAAATTACTGTTCTCTTTCGCAAAAAAACCCCAGTTTCGTTGTAAAGGCTTACAAAGCCAACGCAACGCATGAGTGGGGCGCCGTCCACGCACTTCGCGCTATCTCGCCACTTCCCTGGCAAGGCTGATATTACCTCGAGATCGGCGTACAGTGAGCGGCAAATGGTGTGTATAAATAGCTCGCGGTCGGCACTGTCGTGGTCGCTGTTATCTCACTCTCGCCTTGCTACGTCTATACCCGTCGACATAAGGCAAGTGCACACCGGCGACTTGCAGTGGTCGCGCGACCATTCGCGACTGGCGACTAAAAAGCGACAGATGTTCATTCACACCGACAGAGACTGCGTGCGAGCGACCGGAAGTCGCAAAACTGCAGAGTCACATCGGGATCTCGTTATCAGCGAGCACTCTGGAGACCGGCGCCGATCAGCTGATCGCCGCCAGCTGAGTAAGCGGAGCGAACTTTCATCCATTATCGCACATCGTTGAAAAACAAACAAAAAAACAAAACTGAGCATCGCTGATTGCTTCCAGCAGCATTGCGACTGCAGTCACACGACTGAAAAAGAGAGAAAAGTGATTCTTAAGAGAGAAAGGAAGAGAAAAGTGAGCCCCGTAACTGTCTGCTTCAGTGAGCGACACCTCAACAGTAGCTCACAAGGGATGTGGGTGAGGAGGGATAAAAGGGTAGGAGTAAAGGTGTAGAAAAGACGAAGAGACGTGAGGTGGTAAGCCAGAGCGAGCGACAACAATGATTGATTGATATCTGGAGTTTAACGTCCCAAAACCACTATATGATTAGAGCGACAACAAACTGAGGGGATAGAAGAGATAGGAAAGATGGAAGCACGGTCACTGGAGTCCGAGGATGGGAAACACTTGCGAGAGCTCTTGTCGGCGTCGGTAGATGGCATAGAGCAAGTCCAGTCGCTCAAAGCTACACTGTCGTCGAAGGTCGTTGGCGTCAGGAGGTGACGTAGGCCGAGCCCAGTCGGTCAGAGCTACGCTGACGCCGGAAATCGCGAGCGCATGCCCGCGCGCGCGCACACACAACCGGTCGGCACGGAATCCAGCAAGCGAGTCCCCTGAAAAAATCGGTCAGGAAGCGACTAGCCAAAGCAGTCGCTTTGCGACCATTTGCGACCGTTCGCGACTGTTTGCGACCAATCACAAATGGTCGCACGACCTCTGCTAGGTGTGCACCAGCCTTTACGCCCCCGCGATGCCGAAGAATGTGCGCTGCTGTGGCCGAATAGTTAGCGCCGCGCGTTGCGGAGTGAGAGGTTGCCCATTCGAATGCACGTCGGGTTACATTTTCCCGACACTTTTTTTTGTGTGATATATATATATATATATATATATATATATATATATATATGTTCAGCAGGAAAGTTCAGGGGGTCCTGTACGTATAAAAGAACACAAGCGAGAGCACGGTACGAGAGAGCAATTATTTCGTGCCTAACGCTTTAGCCGTAGCCCAGCCGTCGTCAGAGAATGAAAAGTACCTTACACTGTCGCCATGCAGGGTCAAGATTCACTTTAATAAATGTTATGTTGCGTGGTTCAAGTGTAGAATTGCAGCTGGCTTCGCGCCCTGTGAACGTTGTAACGGGTGGGAACTTTCAAGCGACATACCCCAATATGCTCATATATATATTGTAAGACAGTAGCAGCGTTGGAGTCTCGACGGCGTTTATTAGGCCGAATCGCCTGATCAACCCTTCGAACGAAGACGACGTTCTTCGTGATGATGATTATATACAGATGAAGAAGATGAAGATCAAACGTTGTCAACGGCCAATTAGGCCGATGTTTATGACGGTGGTGTACGGCGCACGAATGGTTTTAGGCGTGACACGTGAACAACCTCCGTACCATGAAAACGGCCGTCGGGAGGCATGATAACATGGGTTACTCAATAGTTAACAGGAGACGTCTGCTCGACTATAGCGTAGGGGCAGATGAAACGTGAGTGAAACTTATCACACAGGCCGGGAACCCGCGTGGGGATCCACAACAGTACTTCGTCTCCAGTATTGAAGTGAACTACGCGGTGGACGCGATCGTAGCGAGTCTTCCGCTCTTGTTGGCTTGTCTGTGTATTGAGGTGGGCGCGTCGGCGACAATCGGCCAGGCGAGAGATTAAGTGCTCCCTCGATGACGATGACGAGTTCACAGGGACGCCAAAAAAGGAGATGTCGAGCGGAGATGTTGGTTGACGGTTATAGACGCGAAAGAATGGGGAATAGCCCGTGGTGGGCTGCGTAGCGGTATTGTACGCAAAAGTCATGAATGGCAGGATGGTATCCCAGTTGGTGTGGTTGGCGTTGATATACATAGATATCATGTCGGTCAAAGTTCGATGGAAGCGCTCTGTGAGGCCGTTAGTCTGGGGATGGTAGCTGGATGTCGTCCTATGATTCGTATTACATGCGTGGAGGACTTGTTCGAGTAGTTTCTAGAGAAACGTCTTGCCGCGATCGCTCAATAGGATGCGTGGTGCACCATGTCTTAGAAAGATTGCCTCCAGAAAAAATGTGGCAATGTCCTCTGCTGATCCTGAAGGAAGTGCAGCGGTTTCGGCGTACCTTGTTAAGTGGTCAACTGGTGTGACAATGCAGCACTTGCCGCTAGCTGATATTGGTAGTGGTCCGTAGAGGTCAATGCCAATGACATTGAAGGGAGCGTCAGGACATGGAAGAGGTTGTAGAAGACCGGCAGGGGAGGAAGTGGGTCGCTTGCGGCGTTGGCATAGCGAGCATGACACAACATATCGCACTACCCCGCACCTCCGCCACTCTGTAAGACAGTAGCAGCGTTGGAGTCTCGACGGCGTTTATTAGGCCGAATCGCCTGATCAACCCTTCGAACGAAGACGACGTTCTTCGTGATGATTATATACAGATGAAGAAGATGAAGGTCAAACGTTGTCAATATTGTGCTTACAATATATATATATATATATATATATATATATATATATATATATATATATATATATATATATATAAATGAAGTGCTACGACAATAAAAATAGTGTTTTTGTTCGCATGCACACTGTTCAATGTTGCGAATACCCAACTGTACGAGTTCATACTAAATATTAGTTGATCTCCAAACATTGGCCAAATTGCTTTTCCATAATTTTTTCATTACCACGTTAAGGCAATGGACGAATAGTAACTGCTGCATTTTCGAGATATATCCGCTTCATGTCAAAACATGGCGCCCCATACGCAGATCTGCATCATCAACCGTTCAAGAGTGTTTCAAAGAAATAAAAAATAAAGCAACGTTGTTTTACAACAATAACCACAAAGACCGCACCTTTGGTTGGAATGCTTTAGCATGAGTGTCTCCACATTTGCGTCACACTGAACAATCGATCAATGTGGTTGCCGCTTGCAATCTCACTCGCTGCAAATATAACGTGTGCACCTCCCCCGTAAAGTGGGGAACAGAAATCATGTTTTCGAACTATATGTGATTGGCCACTATTTCGTGCTAATTTATATTGACAAGGAGCCACCATACATGCCAATTTGCGTTTGAGTATATTTTTTCTTTTTCGGGCAACAATATTCTTCAGCCCTAGTATATAGCGAAAGAACCACTCCGTATATTACACGACATAAAATACGCCCAGAGGATAAAAATATAACTGTTCTTTTCGAATGAAGATTGCATCATACGTCCGCTAGGAAGTATGTTAATATATTATACCTACGAAAATACGTCACTGATAACCCTATAAACAGAGTGTGACCTATTTGTCGAGTGTTGTGTAAGCAGCGTACGCTAAGTCTTTTTGAGTCGACAGCGCTTACAACAACGTTGCGAATGTCCACTGAAATAAATTTAACAAGATGTATACTATAGTGCTTATTTATACGAATCACCTGGTAACTAGTGACCATATGTTATGTTTTTTGTGTTTTCAGACAACAGTCGGGTGTACACAGGATACCACCACTACACTGACTACCAAAACTGCATGGTTATGACGATCAAATATCGGGACCACGATCGTAAGATGCCTTCTTATCATTGTGATAAACTACTGAATTACTTGCACATAGCTCTTGACAGCAATTATGCGTAGAAATAGAACTTTTCCGGTCAGACAACCGAGTGAGTTTAGCTATTTTGCCTTATATAAAAGAAAACCATTTTAGGCACTGATGTCATTTAGCTAACTGGTGTTGAAAGTATCGCAAATATTTTCAAATAGCATGGATAAAAGATAACAGAAGGCAGAAGATCAAATGCCAAGAAAGCAGCAACGCAGTAAGAAAGGATTTATATCTTGAAAAATATTGCTTGTATGCAAGAACACGTGCACTTTCTTAGTATAGTTTACGTTTTGCTTATAGCTAAACGAACGCACGTGCATACTTGTTCGCATAATAGATGTCCTATTTTACTTCACGGCGTTCGAACCGATTGATAACAGGAAATACAATCGCATAATCTTGCGAGATGTGAGCTGCAGCCAATGTGCTCAACTTTTCTGCTTTCTTAATTTTGCACGAAACATCAGTGGTGGTAATTCTAACTGCGATATAGCACACTTACGTTAGTAGGTCTTGCTCTAGCTTACACGCATATGTGCAATGTGGGGTATATAACTTTCCACATATTAAAACCAAAATTTTCATCAATACTGAACTGCGTTGACATGCAAGTTAATGTTGCTTGATACTTGTTGAAGGGAAAGTCAACAGACAACGCATATTGCTGTTGCTTTTCAAAAGCATGATTGACCTAACGCTGAGATCGTAAGGTAGCAAGATGGCAAGTTGTACTAGTTACATTGCGTTCATGTTTCAAAATTTGGTTGAACCGCACCAAGAAAACGTGGACAAAAACGGCTGACAGGACAGCGCTGTCCGTCAGCCTCTTCTCTCCGTTTGTTTTCGGTAGGCTTTAATCAAATTTCGAAACATGCGTAAGAGGTAGTATTATGTGCTTGTATTATGTGCTTGTAGAGGTAGTATTAAATATTGCGAATATCTGTCACATAATTTGATGCCCCCAAATGTCCTAATTATTGTCACAGGCGTGAAGTGTAATGCGGACAAATTTGTTGTGTAAGCATAATTTGCATGTATTATCAACGTTGACCATTTTCTGGACACTGTATAAAATTTGCGGTGGGAAACAGTTTATTATACTTGAACGTGTTTTTAAGACTGTCTGCTGTGGGTCAAGAGATCCGTGGCTCATGCTGTTCCTCAAAACTGCCTGGACCACTACGAAGCTAAGTGTTATGTCAGAGTTCCTACGTTCGACAATGATCTCTGCCGCGACGATGAATGAAAGGGAACTAAACATTAACGAATACATAAATTCACGCTGCAGACATCAAAATTATCAAAAGTTTAACGAGGGTGCCAACTAAAGAAATTTTGTCTTTCGATGCCTTGACGTGTTCTAGCATCAAAAAATTGTGAAAAGGTTTCAAGAGGTGCTTTCAGCAAAACAAGAACAACAATAAAGTCAGTTTTGTCTGTTTCCCTCTTGAACCAGACGTGCCACTTTTACGGTCGCCATGCTACTAAAGCATAATTTGGTCTTGTGCTTCTGCCCTAACAGCTACAGACTCATTTAAGAACAGCCAACTTCAGATGCTCTTCGTTTGTCAAAGCTCCTCAGCCTTTTATTGATCCAGTGACCATGTATGCGGCCCAAGCTAAAATAGGGGATAAAAACACTGCTATATGTTTACCTCATTATTTTGCATGCCATATAATAACGACACAACGAGACAACAAGACATAAGTGGCCAATGAAGAAGTCGGCACCACAAGTGTACTGTACCTGCAAGAGAAATTAAACGACTCAAGGTAAAGACACAGTTGTGATCCCGATTCGAGCCGAGGAGCAGCGATGCAGTCAAGTCCCGCACTTGAAAAGCATTCCCACTCTTGATAGTGTAAAGTTTTTTTTTCATAAGGTGAGTTCTTTCTGCTGGCTTTCCTGAAAATCAGCAATTATCACGTGGTGTTTCTTTCTTCGTCGTTTTTGTTTCTTTCACGCTGGTACTTACTCTCTTTGCTCTGAAAACCTCTGCTAATTTCGCCAGGAGAAGAGCAAAGACACGAACATGGATGGTTATACGCGTGTATAGAGAGATCACAACAAAAATCATTGCTAAATGTCGTTCTTTTTCATCCTTGACTAATAAGCTCTCTTTCTTTCGACCGTCAGAAGTTGCAGCGGTTACGCTGCTTTGCTGCTGACTCGAAGGTCGCGGGTTGATTCCCGTCGGTCGCATTTACAAGCAGGCGAAACGCTGCAGGCTCATGTGCTGTGCGATGTCAGTTCACTTGAGAGGGCAGCAAGCGCTCAAAATTTCCGGAGCTTTCCACGAAGTTGTGCCACATAATCATACTGTGCTTTTGTCATGCAAAACCCCAGACATTGAATTTCAATTCAGTTTCAAAAATATGCAATATGTTTTTGTGTGCAAGAAGACAAGAAATTATCTTGGGACGGAAAGCATATCGCCTGACAAAGTATTAAGCACCCTTGTGCACAGTCCGCAGCACTCCTATTTGTACAGTAATATATCAACTGGTGTTCATAAAATTGTGCTTTCGTGGCATCTAGGCCCACATGGTCAAAAATAAGCAGCAGAGGAAAACGACTCAGGTAAACATTTGAAATTTTGTTAAATTAGACTTACTATACATAACAACTTTTACCTTGGACACCTTTAGGTAAAATACATTGCTAATTAAAATAACTCTGTGGATTACCACATTTGACGTCCTTCGCCCAAGCTCCAGGCACAGACTGTACGCCGCTGGCAATTAATATTGAAAAGACATTGCAGCTAAGCTACAACTTAGCATAGAAATTGGAGCTAGGGTAGGACGATTGAGCACCGGTAATATAACATCTCTTTTATTGATATGCGGGGTTTAACTTCCCCAAACCACCATATGATTATGAGAGACGCCGTAGTGGAGGGCTCCGGAAATTTTGACCACCTGGGGCTCTTTAACGTGCGCCCAAATCTGAGCACACCGGCCCACAACATTTCCGCCTCCATCGTAAATGCAGCCACCGCCGCCGGAATTTGAGCACGCGACCTGCGGGTCAGCAGCCGAGTACCTTAGCCACTAGACTACTGCGGCGGGACAACATAACATCTCTAGTAACTGTAATTGTAAGCCCATATATCTGTTGTGCCAGTGAGACGCTCTTGTAATGCATCGCGAGCGTGCATTCCCCAAGACATCTCATAGATGACCCGCGATTCATAGTCTCTCTTCGACAGAAACATAAAGTACATGTTTATTGCATACACATCAGTATTGGAAGCAGTGGGCATGCTCAAAGTCCTACAATAAAGCATAACATGTCACAGCTCCGTGTTGCCGTCACTGCAACTGCGAGACCCGAAAAAACAAAGATGTATGGGCTGCCGCCAATAAAGCATCTCTGGAGAATAAGAGCGTTATCATCATTCAGCTATCACTGAAGGACGTGCCCACGAACCGAAGCAATAATATTCTTGTAATGATAGCTTAGGAACATTGCAATCGTTCACATTCAGCATAAGGTGAAATAAAGCTAAAAAATAATTAACAATACACTCCACTTGTTGTCGAAGTAGTAGAGAATACTGCTAGCTGGGTTACACTCACGTACGTGGTGTCACTTGCAGTGCTGTCACTTAGCTATACGCCACCGCTTGGAAAGACTACTGGGATTTTTTCTCTTTCTAGTAGGAGACAGACCACTTTCATGCAACGGACATTAGGGTAGTCGCTTGCTGACGGGGGTGATCAGCCACCTGGAGGACAAACTGAGAAATGAGGTAACATGAAATGGAAAGGAAAAAGGAACTGCAGGGTTCGCTGGATATGGTGGAATGCTGAATATTTTATGCTAATCTATCTATCTATCTATCTATCTATCTATCTATCTATCTATCTATCTATCTATCTATCTATCTATCTATCTATCTATCTATCTATCTATCTATCTATCTATCTATCTATCTATCTATCTATCTATCTATCTATCTATCTATCTATCTATCTATCTATCTATCTATCTATCTATCTATCTATCTGTCTGTCTATCTATCTTTCTATCTGTCTATTCATACATCTTTCCATCAATCTATCTATGTATCTATCTATCTATGTTGTAACATACCAAAATTGACATAGCGGCCGTTCAGCGAACTGGTTTCACCCTTCGAGACATGAACAATCCAAAATGTTTCTGGTATCGTGCGTTAAACAACTTTCCTCAGTCACGTGTGGTACATACCAGCTTGGCATAATTAATGTGAAGTAAGTAGTTGTGCACTATAGGTGACTAATAGCCTCAATCTACAAGATGACAGCTAACATGCACAATCGAAATTTTGGCAAATCTTACGGTTGTTGGAATCGACATGGTGATGACCCACCAAATATAACAGCCGGGTTGTAATGTCCGTTGTCGTTGTAGCATTGACTTTCCGCTCTTACAATTCATGATTAGCTATCTTAATAAGTAAATAAATGCCAAAATATGCATAAATATAACAAAAAGTATACACGTAAATAATTTTCACTACATGCATTGACCCGTAAATTGCAGCTCGAGCAGACGAACCATTAGAACGTGGTCTTTTGATACTCCAGTTTATTCAGGCCACGTGAATGGTCTCCCAGGATGACATGACGTTCACTTCATTTGTTACAACCGCTGTTTCTTATACTACAATACTTATGTTTTCAAGGTATACCAGAAACGTAACAGCGTCGATGCAAACACAATTATTGGATGGTATTGTAACGGATGCAGACAAGCACTTTTCGGTACATGTTTTTTCGTCCTTTGTGTTTGCTTCCGTGCTCTTACGTTTCTGATCGAGGCTGACTACCCGATCTGCCACTGTTAAAAGTTGAATGTGAACTCGTTAGCACAAGACATAATTCGCACACCCAGGACAGGAGCCGTCATAGATCATTTCTTCGTAGGAGACATCCACAAGTTTCAACAGTACACAGAACTATGCCTCATTCTCTCCTACACATCGACCCGCATCGCCACGATTGCGAATGGATCTGAAAACAAGTTCTATTCAGCTGTTGATGCTAAATGATCAAGGTGATGAACATGATGACTTTCTTCAAAGGACTGCTAGTAAGCCTTCACAAATGTACATGGAATCGTGAAACATATGTGCATCCTATAACGGAGAACATAATGGACAAATGTAAGCATGGCATCTCCGGATATACTACTTCTGTTCGCAATACACATGTGAGCTGTGGGCATTGTCGCATCATTGAGTACCAGTAGGTGAACAACTGGTTATACAACATATTTGGCTGATTATCTTGCGTGCGTCCGCATATCATTTCTACACACATATAGCGTCATTTCGTAACGTTCCACTTCATAGAAAAATTACCCCACAGCCACCTTCCCGCCGAATACTTTGCATGACAATTATTCACAGGGTTAGTGGTATCTACCGAATTTCATTACTTTCCCATTAAAAGCAATGTTTCAATTCAACGACTTGTTCCTAAGAAGCAATTGTTCACGGAACATATTGGATGCTCGAAAATATACCGTAAAGTTCTCCGCAGCACACCTGTGAAGAAACTGTAAGAGTTAGGTTGTTTCAAGTAAGCCTTGAATTATTACGGCTTACTTATTCCTTTTACCTTTTCGCCAGTGCTGGATGGCAAATCAAAATAATTATTCTGGTTGATCCACCCGCCTTTTATATGAGCATTTCCTCTTTCTCTAGAATATACCTTTCTTTTTAATTGCCTATGACTTAGATGATAATGGACCAGCGCAAGTGCCACAATATTATTTTTACCTCGTAAATGCATATGGTTGATGAAGCTATGTTTCTTTCCAACATTTGTCCCTCCCCTTTCTTTGAACTAATGCCAGCTCCCAACGTTTGCTTTCGAGCTTTCGTTGACACATATCTCATCAAATTCACTTTTTAGCTCATCATAGGCAATCAATAGCTCCTGTCATGCCTTCCTGTTATACGCTTCCGGGTAAGAAGCCTAAAGAAATGACGCATAAGTTTAATTACATTAGTGTCACTACCCTTATTAACTTACTTCGTTTAATATTAACCATTGTCTATGCAATTATTGAACAATTTGAACTGCTGTCTTGATCATTCTGCTATAAGCAATATATTTCTGAAAAATGTCGTCTTCTTACCAATTTTATTGAAGCGAATAATTTTATTTGAATTTGTTTCTCCATGAGGAATGTCACATTCACCATACGGCCAGAGAACTTGCAGATCAGGCGAAATAATTTGTTGATGTTGGGGAGGGCAGCATGCTTGATACCGCTTTATTATTTTACTGAATAACCAGAAGTTTATATAAGTTGCTGCGTGCAGGAAGAAATGTTCTTTTTCCCTGCACTTGTAAGCTAAAGGCCTAAATACATTTTTTTAGTATAATACGCTAGATAAGCGTGCGCGGAGTTCCCAATGGTTACGGAAGGGGGGGGGGGAGGTCAATCGTTTGTCTCCGTACTACTGCCTCATAGGGCAGGTACCTTGTGCCTTCTCCCCCTCTTAGGTGATTAAGGGGAGCAGGCACCTCTAGGACTCTCCGCCGCCGTGCGTGCTTCTATGATAAGCAACATATCTCGTCAAAGATACTTAGCGTATGACCCTGTAAAGACAGTTATGTAGCGCTGCTAAGCTTATATACTGTAACACGGTAGAGGAGATCTCAAATACGTGAAGGTATTAGTTGACACCGGTAAAAGTGACCATCAAAAACATATCCGCGAGAGCCTTTACAATAACGAACCTGACTGTGTGTTCGCACTTGCTTGAAACAAGGCGAAACAAATATTCAATGTCTGAATAAGTTTTCACAAAAAGCAGTAACAACAAATGGTAGCCTATGGAGTTTCCGCAGCATTATTAGTAAGAAAAGACCTGGTTAATTAGGCAGGTTTTATCATGCCCAGACCAAAGAAAATATGGTAAAGCCTTTATAAATGAACATCAATGCGTATATGGGGTGTGACGCATGCGCAACAAGCATACAAATAAAAGAATCTCACTAATAAGCCGCATGTGTTCAGTGGGGTCTGACGCATAAGTGTTGCACAGTGACTCATGTTGATCAAAAAGCGGTTGAAGCAAGTATAGGGGATGACAGTTTAAAGAAACGTGATGAGCCTGAGCTTACAGCAGTAGAGAGCGATAAGCTCTTGCCGCACGTACAGTGAACCACCGTTCTATTTCCAAGCGAGAGGGTTACGGAGCCTCTGTCTTAAGAATGTCCAATGTCGGCTACGTTAATTGTGAGCGAAAATTAGTGTTGTGGGTAACCGGTAAAACAGCGATGCATTCGAAGAATAAATATCAGGGGTAAAATTCAGAATGTAACCCAGGTATTCTGCATGGCAAACAGGTGTTACAAAACACAGCTTACAGTAGTGGTTCAAGCTGATTAAATAAAAGCGAGAAATATGAAAAAACTGTACAGATGAGGAGCCGAATTAACGCATGAGATATTTCGTGGCTAGAACTTATAATCGTGCGAGTGCCACACTACTTGAATTGCGCAACGAGGTGACTTTCCAGGCGTACCCATCGCACAGTGCTTTGGAATAATTATTTGCCGTCATAAGACAGCAGCAACAAAGTGTGCAGCTGCCGTGTGGCGTGAATTGCCAAACAAACACGCAGTCGGTACTTGGCTACTTGACAAAAAGACAACTGATAAGGCAGTAAGCTTTATCAAACTGTACTTGCAGCAGGCATTTTTAGGAGAGCTTAGAACGGCCAGTATTTCCAGAACAAGTGTTTTCTTCCTCTCGGCACCGTTGAGGTGATCACCGAGGGGCGAAGCGAGACAAGGAAGTGAGAAGGCGATGCGAATGGCAGCCGTTAAAGCTGTCGTGCAGCAGTCTTTAACGGCGGAGTCGAAGCGCCCTCAAAGTTGCAAGCGAACTCAGAGATTTGGGGGACGACGTCGTACGAGGAAATTCTGAGGCTTGTGAGCATAGCGTAATGCGTTGTTCGTTAATACACAAGTTTAGTGTAGTGTCCGGAAGAGCTCTGCGTAGACAGCCTGCCCGTGGAAATTGCTGGCAGGCTGCGTCCGCGCTGTTGCTGTGGACGTTCAAGTAAATATGTTTGATAAAATTAGAGACAGCGATGATGAAAACGAGGGAGGACACGCACTTTTATCTTCGCTAACATTGATGAAGAAAAAATGGCAGCGTTGAGATGCCCTGCTCGCAGTTCTCAAAACACATCGTCCTTAATGTGCGGTTCAACTTAGAAGGAAGTGTTCATGTTTTAAATCAGACACACAACTTCTTGTATGTACAATTTTCTCCGATGTGATATAGTTTGATGTTTCATCGAGGTGACTTGACGCGTCAGGTTGTCGAATTTCATCGTACCCTTAAACGGACCTTACATCATTCTTTACACATGGCCAGAAAACGCGGCCGATCGTTAGTCGAGGCTATCGAGAAAAAGCGAGCAAAGCACAAGGCCTGGGATTTACCAGAAATCTTCAAAGTCCGCTAAATAACGCTTTCTAAATATTGTTAAATTACGAGACAAGCTTAATAATCACTCGTCACAGCTATTATAAAATTCACTGGTTGATTTGGGCATGGCGCTCTTAGTTATTTCTCGGGTCGCTGCGGAACGCTGCGGAATGTGGTGTTGGTGGTTGTGGTTAGAAGAAGGCACTCAATTTCTGCAGCCCGGCTGGGAGCACAGCACAGTGACGCACTAAAAAGCCACGTATTCGAAGAAAATAAGACAGACTAAGAAGGCTCAAGGTCACAAAGCGCGCGTGCAAGGTTTTTTGCCTCATGTCATCCCTCCCTGCTTAGCTTCCAGCGCTTTCGTTGGGATGAGACAAGAGAGAATCCAAGTGCAGGGTGGTACAAATCTTTGTAACTCCGCTTGTGTGGGCAGGTTACAAAAATTTTATCCGCGGGGAGTTCTTGAGGCCATCACCTCTTTTAGTGAAGCCATACTATAGCTTTTCGAAAAAGTGCTGCAGAGCCCTTTTATAGTAAATGCAGGGACTATCGTTGTTGTGTGTAGCAGCTGACCTGTTGCGCTGCTAAGCACAAATAACAACAACGAAGTGCAAGAATGAAAGAAAAAGTAGTTAGAAAAAATACTTAGAAGGAGGTATTGCGCTTTGAAATAAAAATGAAACAAAGCATGAGAAAAAGACAGAAACAAAGACAGGACAAAGAAAGGCAACCAATTATTGAAAGACGAGACGAAAAGTTACAAATAAGAAAAAACAAAACAGGAAGAGAGAGAAAGAGCGAACCCACGTTCTTTCTGCCTCCTCTTGTTTTCTTTTTTTCGTTGTAACCTTGCTCCAAGTCTTCCAAGTAACGATGCACAACACAACATACAGAGAAGTAGTAGGTTAGCATGCACGCCAATCTTTGCATGCCACATTTTTCGCATTTTGCAAAAACTTAACAATTTTTATGTGTATGATTTCAGATTACACAACTGTCTTCACAGGCTACACTCACCGCACGAACTACCAGAACAGCCTGACTATTACCATCACGTGTCTTGACCACGATCGTAAGAAGCCTTCTTACCATTTTTTGAAACCAAGGAATGATTGATACGTATTCGGATGCAATTACCTAAACAAGACAAGCATGCCTTTCTACACAAGGAATGCACTGTAGCATGTTACACCCTGAGTTAAACCATGTTCAGGAAATCATCATCATCATCATCATCATCATCATCATCAGCCTGACTACGTCCACTGCAGGACAAAGGCCTCTCCCATGTTCCGCCAGTTAACCCGGTCCTGTGCTTGCTGCTGCCAATTTATACCCGCAAACTTCTTAATCTCATCTGCCCACCTAACCTTCTGTCTCCCCCTAACCCGCTTCCCTTCTCTGGGAATCCAGTCAGTTACCCTTAATGACCAGCGGTTATCCTGTCTACGCGCTACATGCCCTGCCCATGTCCATTTCTTCTTCTTGATTTCAGCTATGATATCCTTAACCCCCGTTTCTTCCCTAATCCACTCTGCTCTCTTCTTGTCTCTTAAGGTTACACCTGCCATTTTTCTTTCCATTGCTCGCTTCTTCGTCCTCCATTTAAGCTGAACCCTCTTTGTAAGTCTCCAGGTTTCTGCTCCGTAGCTAAGTACCGGCAAGATACAGCTGTTATATACCTTCCTTTTGAGGGATAGTGGCAATCTACCTGTCATTATTTGAGAGTGCTTGCCGAATGTGCTCTACCCCATTCTTATTCTTCTAGTTACTTCAATCTCGTGGTTCGGCTCTGCGGTTATTACCTGCCCTAAGTTGACATAGTCTTTTACAACTTCAAGTGCACTATTATCTATCTCGAAGCGCTGCTCCTTGCCGAGGTTGTTGTACATTACTTTCGTTTTCTGCAGATTAATTTTAAGACCCACCTTTCTGCTCTCCTTGTCTAACTCCGTAATCATGAGTTGCAATTCATCCCCCGAGTTACTCAGCAATGCAATGTCATCGGCGAAGCGCAGGTTACTAAGGTATTCTCCATTGACTCTTATCCCTAACTGTTCCCATTCTAGGCTTCTGAAAACCTCCTGTAAGTACGCGGTAAATAGCATTGGGGAAATTGTGTCCCCCTGCCTTACACCCTTCTTGATTGGTATTCTGTTGCTTTCTTTATGAAGCACTATGGTAGCAGTTGATCCCCTGTAGATTTCTTCCAGAATGTTTATATATGGTTCATCTACGCCCTGATTCCGCAGTGTTTGCATGACGGCTGATATTTCTACTGAATCAAACGCCTTCTCGTAATCTATGAAGGCTATGTATAGTGGTTGGTTATACTCTGAGCATTTCTCTATTACCTGATTGATAGTATGAATGTGGTCAATTGTTGAGTAGCCTGTTCGAAATCCTGCTTGTTCTTTTGGTTGATTGAATTCTAATGTTTTCTTTACTCTGTTAGCAATTACCTTTGTAAATAGCTTGTATACTACAGAGAGCAAGCTGATCGGCCTGTAATTCTTCAAGTCCTTGTCATCTCCTTTCTTATTATTAAGATGATGTTAGCGTTCTTCCAAGACTCTGGTACTCTTCCCGTCAGGAGACACCTCGTAAACAGGGTGGCTAGTTTTTCTAACACAATCTGTCCTCCATCTTTCAGCAGATCTGATGTTACCTGATCCTCACCAGCAGCTTTGCCCCTTTGCATGCTCTCCAAAGCTTTTCTGACTTCTTCTATCATTACTGGTGGGGTGTAATCTGGATTACTGCTAGTTCTTACAGTATTAGGGTCGTGGTTGTCTCGGCTACTGTACAGATCTCTGTAAAAGTTCTCCGCTATATTAACTATCCTATCCATATTGGTAGTTATTTTGCCTTCTTTATCCCTTAGTGCATACATTCGACTTTTGCCTATCCCAAGTTTCCTCTTCAATGCTTTGACACTTCCTCCGTTTTTCAGAGCGTGTTCAATTCTCTCCATGTTATACCTTCTTACATCGCATACCTTACGTCTATTAATCAACTTCGAAAGCTCTGCCAGTTCTATTTTGTCTGTTGTACTTGACACTTTCATGATTTGACGCTTCTTGATTAGAATCTTTGTTTCCTGGGAAAGCTTTCCAGTGTCCTGTCTAACCACCCTGCCTCCAACTTCCACTGCACACTCCGTAATGATACTCGTCAGATTATCATTCATTGTATCTACGCTAAGGTTGGTTTGCTCACACAGAGCCGAGTACCTGTTCTGAAGCTAGACTCGGAATTCCTGTACTTTCCCTCTCAGAGCTAGCTGATTGATTGGCTTCTTGCGCATCAGTTTCTGTCGTTCCTTCTTCAAGTCTAGGTGAATTCGAGACCGTACCATTCTATGGTCACTGCATCGTACCTTGCCAATCACTTCCACATCCTGCACGATTCCAGGGTGTGCACTCATTATAAAGTCTATTTCGTTCTTATTTTCGCCATTAGGGCTCCTCCATGTCCACTTGCGGTTTTCTCGTTTTCGGTAGAAGGTATTTAAAATCCGTAAATTATTGCGTTCTGCGAATTCTACTAGTAGCTCTCCTCTGGCGTTCCTAGTGCCGATGCCATAATCTCCTACTGCCTGGTCTCCAGCCTGCTTTTTCCCTACCTTTGCATTAAAGTCGCCCATCACTATGGTATACTGTGTTTTTACCTTACTCATTGCCGATTCCACGTCTTCATAGAAGCTTTCAACTGAAGCGTCATCATGGCTGGATGTAGGCGCGTAAGCCTGTACTACCTTCATTTTGTATCTTTTATTCAGTTTAATTACGATACCTATCACCCTTTCATTAATGCTATAGTATTCCTCTATGTTTCCAGCTATGTTTCTGTGAATTAGGAACCCCACTCCCAGTTTTCTTCTGTCTGCCAAGCCCCTGTAGCAAAGGACGTGCCCATTCTGTAGCACCGTATAGGCCTCATCTGTCGTCCTAACCTCACTGAGCCCTATTATATCCCATTTAACACCCTCTAGCCCCTCGAATAGTACAGCTAGACTTCCCTCATTAGATAAGGTTCTAGCGTTAAACGTTGCCAAGTTCAGGTTCCAATGGCGGCCTGTCCGGATCCAGAGATTCTTAGCACCCTCTGCTGCGTTGCAGATCTGACCGCCGCCGTGGTCAGTTGCTTCGCAGCTGCTGGGGACTGAGGGCCGTGAGTCATTTGACGTAAGCATGTGGGAGGTAGTGGCCAGATACTGCACCAGGGTGGCCAATCCTTCTCTGGTGAGGGAGTACGTTCTCGGCGGTGTTTGCCGGTGAGGCCGCACCCCAGGCCTCTTAATGCAGTTCCATCAACACGCGGATTTTTTTTTTAATCCGGTTGGGAACTGCGCGGTACCGGGATTTGAACCACGGACCTCTTGCATGCGAGGCGGATGCTCTAACCACTACGCCATCACCGCAGCTCACGAACAAGCATCCCACGAACAAGGGGATGGTAAATGTCCGTGGCTTTTCTGCACTAAGAATGCTGAATTACGAGTTAGGCTAGTTGGTTTTCATTACACTTGGATTGAGTTTTACAGCTAAATATTGATTGATATGATTGATATGTGGGGTTTCACGTCCTGAAGCCACCACATGATTATGGGAGACGCCGTAGCGGAGCGCTTCGGAAATTTCGACCACCTGGGGTTCTTTAACGTGCACCCAAATCTGAGCACACGGGCCTACAACATTTCCGCCTCCAACAGAAATGCAGCCACCGCAGCTTGAATTCGATCCCGCGACCTGTGTGTCAGCAGCCGAGTACCTTAGCCACTAGACCACCGCGGCGGGGCATAGGTTATGTTAACAGGAACATCATGCCCCTGTACATGAGATACTTCGTACATGTAATTTTTATTCATTGGCGTGTGTGAGAGAGAATAAAATGAGGGAACAGCCGGGAGGTTAACCAGAAATTGGAGCATTCAGCTTGCTACCCTGCACACGATGAAACGGCAGTGATGAAACATTAGAGCACATTCTGTCTCACTGCCCTCGTTACAGAGTGCAAAGACGGCAGCTAGCTGCTGCTTTAGCTCGGCTTGACGACAGACCCTTGTCAGAACAGTCAGGCCTTGAAAGGCGGCATGATCTGTCTTCACACAGAAAATCAGTGAAGAAATTATTGAACTTTTTGCGTGGTAGTGGCCTATTGAATAGGCTATAACATCCGAGCTCACTTTTTCTATTTCGTGCGTCTGTTCATTGGTGTATTATTATTTAGTACATATACAGTCAAATGATCACCAGAGGAGGGGGGGACAAAGAATTGGCACAGTGCGCAGACCTGCACACTTCATTCAACCGAAGAAATTGAAATCACACCTTATAAGAAGCATTGAATATCCCGCACTCGACATTAGTGCAAGGAGGAGTAAACTCTCCGAGTTCCATTCTAAGGGTTTCACTCCCTGAACCCGGGACATGATTATGAGCGACGCCGTAGGGTTTCGGAAATTTTGACCACCAGGTGTTTCGTCAAAGATCACCTAAATGTAAGTATACGAGCCTGTTGCATTTCGCCGCAATTGAAAATGACCGAAATTTTATCCCGCTACCTTCGGGTGAGCAGTCGAACACTATAACCTTGAGACCACCATGATGGAAATTGCTTCAAGTGATGCAAGACGTTTCAATAGGCAATGTCACTGAATAGGGAATGTCACTGTCGCGTGGACAAAGGAGAGCAGCTACGATGCGTTCGCCTTTCGACGCACCGCCCTTTTTTGTGCAGTTTTTCCTGTTCGGCGCATGGAATCCTATCTTGGGTGATGCAGCTGTGCTTCCAGCGTCTGCTGCTCCGTTCGTCGTGGAAACAAGTACCACACAGGATCGGCTTTACTTTCAACCTTGGCTGGGGACGGTGACTACCCCAGTAACCAGCCCAGCAGCACCATCGTCGTGGATATCACCTAATCGGGCCGATTTAAACGAGTGGCATCGCCTGTCGTCCTTCAGTGGGCACGGGAGAGCAGCTACGATGCGTTCGCCTTTCAACTCACCGCCCTTCTTTGTGCAGTTTTTCCTGTTCGGTGCATGGAATCCTATCTTGGGTGACGCAGCTGTGCTTCCAGCATCTGCTGCTCCGTTCGTCAGGAAATAAAGACATTTATTTATTACTCGTGCAGTCAAAGATCATAAAGAAATTTATGGTCTTTGATATCATGGCTCTTTGATCATTTATGATCTTTGATATTTGTGACTCGATATTATACCTGCAGATGTATCAGAAAGTAGGTTCACAAGCGAAAATCAGTCCGATAATTGTCAGTGTAGTGAAACAGGTATAACGAAGGTTGTAAGCGTATACTTTACGGCTGTTGCTTTCGTTTTTGTTATAGACAAATGAAACACGTAAACTTTTTTAAAAATAGAGGTTTTCTTTTAGTCTATACATGCTACCCCAGATGATCTCGTCAAATGATGTTTAGAGAAGTGCATTGCAGAATCATTTTTCGCCAACTTTCTTACGTGTATTTTTCTGCGTTAACAACGCCTTGTCAGGTCCTTTCCTATGTATTGTAGGACATTAAGCCATTTCCGTTGCGGCCTCAACACGTATGTGCACATGGAAATACATATGTTGACCCATACTATTACACATATTTTGAACAACAGTGAACTGTTTCATCATACAATTCAGGGCTTTTAAGAACGCCTGCTGCAGGTTGATATGAATGAAGTATTATGGTTTTATTTCAAGCACCACAATTGCCTGATAGCGGAGCTTGTAGCTACGGTAGCGGCTACTCCTCCGTCAACATTATATGGTGCACTATAGGTTCCTGCAAACGTGGGAGCGTCAGTCAGCGCCGCCTGTTGCTATTACAGTGAGTGTGCAACACCTTTTTTTTTGCTTGTTGGACATATATACCATGCAAAATGAACTGAGGAATGACGACCACTGTAATTCAGTCGTAGAGCATTGGGAGCGTTATTGGAAGGTCGCAAGTTCGGATCCAGCTGGAGGCAAGTTAACCTTTCGTCCGCTTTTCTTTCTTCACATTTCCAATTTTCAATAACATCCCCAAAACCTTCCTTGGCATCATTGGTTGTTTTTTTTTTGCATTAAATTGTGCAAAATGAACTTTTAATAAATATGCAAGCAGTCTTTTAAAATATAGGTTACGGCAATACCACTTCAGTAACGATGAACAGCATTCTCACGTAAAAAGATCGGCCCCCTATCTGCATGCGATCTGCAAACGTCGATGAAAGACGATAGTCTTGCGTCTGGAGAGATTGAATAAAATGTTTATTTCATGTTTTACGCAAAAAAATCGGTTAATGGTATTCCGGAAGTGCTGTGTTAGAGTGCCTCGAGCATGCAGCGGAGGCAAACGAGCGCACCAAGTCACGTCACACATGCGACATGAGCGCTATCTGGCAGTTATCTTGGAAAACAAAACGCGTGGCTCTCAGTGGTGATAAGGTGAAGAACGCGAGGCGACGGGTAGGTGCCACAACCGTATCGTTGGCAAAGCGTAGGAAACACTTCCCTTTTCGTGCAAGCGTTATATTACATGATCAGCGTCGCGTGATAAACGTTACGGTCCTTAGAATAACTTATGTATGCATTTTCTAGTAAAAGACGCACATACAGAATATATACGTGTTATCATGGTGCCTCAAATACGCGTGATAATTGCGTTTTAATTTACAGTCGCACAAGTATAAACGCTTAACCTTGAACAACATTGGTGGGTGCTGCGGATGGGCGTCGGCCATTTAGGATAGCTGCTGGTGCCATTTGAAATACCCGGTACCGTTAGGGTTGACAAATAGACAAATCAAAATTTTTGCGTCGAAGGTCCTCAAGAAAAACTATCACCTTCAAAAATCTTGCGTTTTACGGTACATGGAAGACGGTTGACACAAAACGGCTTGCTTAAGATTCACGAAGGACGTCGCATCACCCCGTGCCTCTTCTATATTTCACTGCTCTTTTTTTATGCATTCCAGGACGTTACGCTTATCGCATGCTTTGATCTGCCAGGTGTGTCGCAGCAACGAATGCATGACTTTGCACTCTTTTGGACTTCTTGCTGTGCGTGCTTCTTTATTTTTTTCTTCACGTTTACTTTCACAGTTTTTAAACACCATCTGTATACCTATGTTTAAAAACCAGGACCTCTGTGAGGATGATTCTCGGAGCGCAAATGCTGGCACATTGTAATAATTCAAGTACGCGGCTGCTTGTAGAACGTCAAAATTTCGTTCGCTGAATCTGAGTGTGTTGCCTTCGCAAGTTACAGGAGGTCGCAAAAAAGTTTCAGGTAACATGGAGTTAGCTCACACTATAGTAAATATGCCTCAACCAAGAGAATATTTAAAATGCGGTCGCCACTTAGTATAATTTAAGAGCAGATGTTTTATGACAATATCATGGTATGCCTGCCACGCTAACTACCCTTGACCCAACGTCCATGCAGTTTAAGTTTTAGGTTGACGTGATTACAACGTTTGAATTATATTCCTCCTGCTCCTACACTTTCATTGTGATTCATATTTATCTAACCGTGTTGTGTGATAATGAATATCATTCATTTCATCCTCCTTTGAAATCTGTAATCAACAATGGAAACGTGGACACTGACAAAACGTGCAGTTGACTAAGAAGGGAAGCTGCTCAAGACTAAAAAGGTTGATTGATTGATATGTGGCGTTTAACGTCCCAAAACCACCATATCATTATGAGGCCCCGCCGTGGTGGTCTAGTGGCTAAGGTGTTCGGCTGCTGACCCGCAGGGCGCGGGTTCAAATCTCGGCTGCGGCGGCTGCATTTCCGATGGAGGCGGAAATGTTGTAGGCCCGTGTGCTCAGATTTGGATGCACGTTAAAGAACCCCAGGTGGTCTGAATTTCCGGAGCCCTCCACTACGGCGTCTCTCATAATCATATAGTGGTTTTGGGACGTTAAACCCCACATATCAATCAATCATATGATTATGAGAGACGCCGTAGTGGAGGGCTCCGGAAATTACGAGCACCTGGGGTTCTTTAACGTGCACTCAAATCTGAGCCCACGAGAAGACTAAATAGGAGTTCGAGGAGAATTAACATTGCTCTCGGTGGCGAAAAGCAAGAAAAATAGTTATGTAACTTCTCGCCATACCCTATCTTAAATCAGTTTACGTACGTTTCGCAAGGCCCAAAAAAGTGTGCGAAATCATCGCGTAATAAGTAGCTGGCTGTTACTTATGTACATAATATATATGAGCGCAAAGTGATGTCAGAAAGTCACGCAGTAAACATGAATATATGCTTCTGGACAAATACAATACCAACTTCTCGTATCAGGCGGGAGCGCTGTTCTTTCGAGATATGCAAATTGTAATGCTTAAACAAATACATAACTTCATCGAGAGAATACGTACTTGTCTGATTCGAATCACGCAATTCATACCTATGAATAAATGTCAATCACCATCTCTTCTTAATTATCGTTTTGAGACCACACTTGAACTAGACGATGCTTGTGTGTCAAGTTATGAGCCAACACCAAAGTAGACTGCTTTGTGTGTGTGTGTTCTTTTGCGAGAAAAAATAAACGTACACTTCTTGAATCTGAAATCACAATTGTCATTCTCTAGGTAGACTAGTGCCAAAATTATTTCAAAGGTTCAGCGTGCGCAATCTGGCAAGTACGAGCCATACATATGACATCATCGGTGAAAGCTCTCACCACTCTGCGCACTTGGCTCAGCTGATGCTGTGCACTTGGCTCAGCGAATGGTGCAGAATGTGTCGCCGAAAGAAGATCGAAGGAAAAAAGAGGCACACCCTTTCTAAGGTGATACCTAGGTTGTTGGAGCTATAGTGGAACTCCAGCAAGTAGTACGTGATCACAGTCGTGTTCTCTTTGTGTATACTCAAATTTGCGGCACACCATAACTAAAATAATATGACCATAATCTGCACACTTCAAGGAGAGGCGGCCAATGATGGAAGGAATAACAAGTCGTATATAGTTCGCAGAAAATGCTCTTTAGGCTCTTGGAATAAGTCAGCTTAGTGTACAAAAACACTCGGGTGTGTATGCAGCCGCAGGTCTTGAGCAGGTCCCGCTGACGAGAGCAGCAGGCGCGAGTCAAAGGGGTGCCATTCGTGTAAAGTGTGCCGCGAACAGTGGTGAGGAGCACTGTGAAAGGAGGTTCCGGTCTCAGATGCAAGAGAAGAAATACAGCAAAGCAAGAATAGCTGAGTTACTGTAGCTGAGGAAAGCATTCGAAGAAAATAGAGGCAAGCACTATGAGAAAACTCTAGTGGGAAATGTGAAGAGGAGGATGTAATTGAGCAGGAGAGGAAATCGCAAATGGAAAAAAAGGTTGAAAAAAAAATGCCTCCGTATCTGCATGTTACACTGCAAATGTCGTCGAAAGACGATATTCTTGCGTCTGGAGAGAGTGAACAGAACGTTTATTTGATGTTCTGCGCAAGAAAATTGGTGAGTTGTATTCTGGAGGCGCTGCGTTAAAGCGCTTCGAGTGTGCAGCGGAGGCGAACGAGCGCATCAAGTCACGTCACACATGCGACATGAGTGCTAAATGACAGTTATCTTAGAAAACAAAGCGCACTCGCCCTGCGTGCCCGTGTCGGAGGTGATAAGGTGTAGAACGCATGGTGATGGGTAGGTGCCACCACCGTCTCGTCTTAGCAAAGCATTGGAAACACTCGCTTTTTCGTGCAAACGTTGCATGTTCAGCCAACGTGATGAACGCCTCACCATTATATTTACTTATGTATGCATATCTAGTACGAGACACACATACAGAATATTGACGTGTTGTTGTGGTGTCTCAGATAAGCGCAATAATTGCTTTTAATTGACAATCTCGGAAGGATGAATGCTAAATCTTGAGCAATATTGGTGGGCGCTGCGGATGAGGTCGGCCATTAGGAGTATCGCTTTGGCCATTTTGGTGGCGGTTGGGGTACCGTTAAAAGCGGACAAACAGACAATTGTACAGACAGATAGACAGACAGACAGACCAAAGTTTTTGCGTTGAAGGTCTCCAAGAAAGACTATCATCTTTAAAATAAAACGTGCTAAAAGCTTGAGAGGACATTTGAAGCCCGGTAGCCGTAGACTGAAGGCGAGCGTCATGATCGCTCGGGCA